TATTGATTATTCAATACTGTCCTTAATCCTAACTCAGATAAAGTAAGATTTCATTGCTTAAGGCTAACATATTATATTCTTACATCAATGCTCTGGAGATCCTTATATTTAGAACTTCCAAAATGATTTAACCTACCCAACACAACCTAGCCTTCACGGGTTATGAAATTCAACGGGCAAGGATGGATGGGCCATTCCTTTACTGTTTTAGTAGGTAAAATTTTGGTGATTTATTATTCTTGTGGGTTAAGTGCAATATTTTAATATAAAAAAATTAATTACGTAACTTTACAATTAGAGTAGATAAAATTTCGCGACCATATGAGATTAACCCACTTTTTTTTACCAAGTACATTCGTCAAGGACTCAAAGTTGCTTGGAACATCCATGTAAATCTGGGGCGGATCCAGCTTTAAGGTTATGGGTTCCCGTGAACCCAATAGCTTTTGCTCAAAGTCTGTATTTGTATTAAAAAATTTACTAAATATTTATATATATTTGACTAGGAACCCAATTATTATTGTATTACTTTCTCATTACGCTAATTAATACTGACATTTTTAAGTATAACAAAAAATAAAAAAATCTAATAGTTATTCTCGAGTATCGACAATGAAGATTTCAAGTGTAGCTTGATTGAATTTAATTACAGTAAGAATGGCGTAACGCAGAGGGAGCTAGTCCTGTCTTTACTGCATAAATCTTAGGATCATATTACGTACATCTATCTGAGCTAGCCCTGTATTTGACTTAGATTTTAAATGTTGCCAAATATAATCTCTAGATTTTTTTAATGAAGACCGTTAAAGATTAGATGGTGAAACGATATACTGAACTTAAGTTTGTCCTAGAACAAAATATATAATCTCTAGATTTTGTTTTATGAAGATCGTTAAAACTGGATGGTGACACGAGATACTGAACTGAAGTTGGCCCTAATACAAAATATATAATTTCTAGATTTATTTTATGAAGACTGTTAAAGATTGGACGGCAATACGAGACACCGAATAAAGTTGTTCCTAATACAAAATATATAATCTCTAGATTTTGTCTTATGAAGACCGCTAAAGATTAGATTGTAACACGAGATACTGAACTGAAGTTAGTCCTAATACAAAATAATTTATGCCAAATACTTATTCTGTTTTTATTTTATTTGAAGTATTTGATTGAGCACGGAGTTTAAAAAAAAAAAGAAAATTGAAAATCCGACCTCAATTCAAAGGGTACTTATACCTTTTTTTCTTATACTAATTTCCCGATACGTGCGTTGCACGTGTATAGCACGCTAATTAATACTGATATTTTTACTTAATAAAAATAATATTAGAATATATATGCGATAAGTTACACTAAATTTGAAGGGAAAAATACAAGTTCAAACTGAGGAATGGTGAACCAATTCGGCCGACTTGATTCTTGAACGTAAAATAATTAGGCATCGTTTGAAGTTACTTAGGTACAACGTGTAATAAAATTAATTATGATATTGTTTGGTACAAACATGTGATATGATCGTGTCTCACCTAGCTAATACAATTTTATAAATGATATTGTTGGTGTATTACCATTCTGATATATGTTACAACCAGAATTTTATTGTGCCCATTGATATTGCTCTTGAAAGTGACACATATTTATCCATGTGTGAGAACATATTGCAGAAAAATACAAGCCAACAATGAGAAATTTTTTGACCTTCTGCTTTATTTATTATTATTGCTTTCAAATAAATAAGATGAAAGCATATCTTCATTTATGGATGGTGAAAGTTCAATTATAGGTATAAATAAACATTAAGATGAACCGCAAACTATTTGCATTCAGGTTGTAAAATAAAATAAATATATTATCTCCAGGCAGTAAAGAGAAAATAATATAATTATTCAGGTTTAAATATAATTTGCATATTTTAAAATTTGACAATGAGTTTGATACTACAATTAATGCTAGTTAAGAAATAATCTCTCAAAGCATCATATAATGGAGACAACAAAATTCGTAATTTATTATTTATTCCAAGTAGTTTTTCAACTTTAAGAGTTGCTAATATGCATAGTTTGGAGAAAAAAAATATTTAAAATTTATTATGCTGAATTGAAGCCATGCTCAATAGCAACAACACTAAAAAGAAAAAGAATCAAAAAATAATTATGGAAACAAACATTTGTGCAATATTGTTGCTAAAGCTGTAAATCATAAATAATGTTAGATAATTTCAAATTTTAAATTCCAAGGTGGAAAAGATTTTTATCAATTTGATGTACAATTTCATGATAACAACTCTAAAAAATTATATATGATTAGGAGCAACTTATTAACATAACAGTCACAAAGAGCAATAGAAAGAGAAATAAACTTACCTACTTTGACACCTACAAATTGATTATGTATTGCAGATGGAATGAGGTATATCAAATAAAATGAATTAATGTTCTTATATAGGAAAAATAATTTCAACATTGATAATAGATTGTCAGGATGAAGAGAAAGGGGCAAGTGATATTATACGTTATTGTAGACTTTTTTATAATTTGAAACAAAAAAAGTCACAAGACATATATAAACAAATATTATTACTGCTGAAAAATGTAAAAAAAAAAAACGAATACGCATTGAGTTAAATCTGTATAATTGATAGATGATGAAAGAGTTCGGGTGTTACTATTATTTAATGTAGTAACTATTGGCTTAATCACAAACAAAAGATATATATTTAATATATTGATTTTTATGTGAAGGGCATAACCGTCATTCAACTTTTGATGGATATTTTTGTCTTTTAACTTTCATTTTTGATATTCACACTTATAATATAGTATATGATGATGATGATGATGATATATGACTTGAGACCGTTGTAGGCAGGGGCGGATCCAGCCCTTTAGTACCGGGCTCAACCGAAGCCGGTACTTTCGTTGCGTAGTATAAATTTGTGTGTAAAAATTTATTAAAATTACAACAAATAGTAGATGTGAATCCATAACTTTAAAAATATAATAGGTTCAATGCAAAAATATTGAAGGTTGAACTCATAGAGTTTAAATCTTGGATCCACCTCTTCAAATCCTAGATCCGCTTCTGATGTAAATCTACTAATATAGCAATAACTTATATATTTCCTTATTAAAAAAAAAAATAACATAGTATTTTGATGAAAAAAACTTTAGTCAAACAAGAGAAAAAAAGGGTATACTCAAGAGATTTCATTTCAGCACAAATAGAAGGACATCTAAATTGTTGAAGTCTCAATACCGTCAACCAGTAGTTAAATTTACTTTATGCTTTTCAATTTGATAAGAAAATTTTGGGAAATGGGTTTATAATCTTTCTTAAATTATTTATCTTTTCCTAATTTTGGGGTAGTGGTGGAGTTCCAATATTTGTAGGTGGAGAACACTTCACCACTTTGGTTTTGTCAAAAGTTTCATAATTCAAGTTAGGATAATGTTGACATAGTCGACGACATATAAACATATAAAAATGAGAAAATGCATAAAGTACCTATTAAACTTATCCGGAAAAATTATTTACACACCTAAATTTTACGGGCGACCTTTTACCCCACTGTTCTAAACTTAAGTGAATTTAATACCTCTTTCAAAATACTGAACCGGTATTGTGGTGGCTGTGTTTACACGCGCATAAAGACCCCTATTTTCATTTTTTTCCAGTTTTTTTTTTTAAATTTCAGTTTTTTAAAAACAAAAATATTATGTTAAAAAACAATTTTTTTTTCTGTTTTTACAAATTTGTTTTTCCAGTTTTTACAAAACAAAATTCTCTTAAAAAACTAAAAAAATGAAAAAAAATATTTTTCAAAAACGAAAATATTTTGTTGAAAATAATTTTTTCAGTTTTTAAAAAACGAAAATATTTTGTTAAAAAACGAATTTTTTTCTCTGTTTTTACAAAAAAAATTTCAGTTTATACAAATTTGTTTTTTCAGTTTTTACAAAAAGAAAATCTTTAAAAAAACTGACAAAAATAACATTTTTCAAAAACGAAAATATTTCGTTGGAAATATTTTTTTCAGTTTTTAAAAAACAAAAATATTTTGTTAAAAAATCTATTTTTTTCAGTTTTTACAATTTGTTTTGCAAAATCTTTTCAGTATCTACTCAGTTTAAAAACTGAAAAAGTTGTATCTACTCAGTTTAGATACTGAAAAGATTTTGTATAACAAATTGTAAAAACTGAAAAAAATGGTTTTTTTAACAAAATATTTTTTTTGTAAAAACTGAAAAAAATAATTAGTTTTAACGAAATATCAACTGAAAAAAATATTTCCAACAAAATATTTTCGTTTTTGAAAAATGTTTTTTTTTCAGTTTTTCAATTTTTTTAAAGATTTTCTTTTTGTAAAAACTGAAAAAACAAATTTGTAAAAACAGAAAAAAAAAATATTTTTTGTTTTTTAACATAATATTTTCGTTTTTTAAAAGGGTATGGATAATGAATGAAGAAAGAGAAAGAAAAAACGAAAAAGAAAAGAAAAATGAATAAGAAAAGAGAAAATAATAATATTAAGTTAATTAGTTATAATATCCCATTGGAAAGCGACACCTGGACCACTGAATTAGTTTTAAGTTATTTTTTTTTTGCCTTCACGCGCAGCTACAAAGTGAACTATACGTCTTGTGCCAGGTCATCACTGAAGGGGGTATTAAATTCACTTAAGTTTAGAATAGTGGGGTAAAAGATCGTCCGTAAAGTTTAGGTATGTAAATGATTTTTCCGGACAAGTTTAATGGGTACTTTATGTATTCTCTATAAAAATAAAAATATACAATAGAAAAAAGGAAATAAAACTATTCCTCCACTCCTCTCTCTGTAGTCTGTTCTTAAGGTTATCTCACATCTCATTTTAATTTGCCCAGGAAGTAAGGAACCTCTTGTAAAGATTCCCCTCCCCCCCCCAACCCCAACCCCAACAAAAAAAAAAAAAAAGAAAAATCTAGAAGTTAATACTATATTGTCAAATTAACCGTCCAACTGTCCGAAAAGCTATTTTTCCACCTTTATCAGGGTTCTCATGGAGTGATCAATCATTGAAAAAAAATGAAAACAGAAAAGAAAATAATTAAAAAGAAAACAATTGACAACCCATTGATCAAGGAAGAAAAGAGCACCTAAAATCTTTACTCTTCATGCTATTTTGCGCATAATTATGTCAATCTTTTAAGGATATAGAGAGAGCCAGATATTTGTATTATTCTTGGACTTGTTTCCTTTATTGGTTCCAACTTCAAGGATGTCAGGAAAAAACTAACCCCATTTTCTTGTTTTCTTTCTGCACTTATTCTTGGATTCCTTATTTTTTTTATTTAACAGATGTAGCTTCAATCTTACTTCTTTATATATTTTACTATAAATAGGATCTGAAACATATAAGGGTAATATTTTATTGTCAAAGGGGGTTCTTTGGTTGGTTGATCTAGCAGCTTCTTTTTGTGGGTCAGCTCAGTTTCTGCTGTAGTGTCATTTGAGCAAGAATTGAAGGATTTTGATTTTTTGGGGTTCTTTTAGTCCCAAAGATTTAGCCTTTTTCTTGAGAAAGATTGGATTTTTATCTCAAATTTGTGAATTTCTTGAAAAAGGCTATCCTTTTATGTCTACTTTTGGGGCTTGAGCAATGTTTGTTTCAACTGAAGAAGAACATATGTCATTGCCTTTGGCAAATGGGAAAGTATTGGAGAATTCATCTCCAATAGGATCAAATCCAGATTTCAATGAAGATGAGGTTTCTCAAGAGATTACTTCAAATTTCATGGATGTCAATGTGGTTCAAGAGGATGAAAAGTTTCAGCTTGAGCAGAGGATTTTGAATTTAGAAGGTGGCTTTTTTGGGGATTTATTTGTAATTTGACTTAGTTTTTAAGAATTTCTTGACCTGAACTTTCTTTATGTGTTGCAGGTGAAATTGGGAGTTTGAGGAATAAAGAGAGATCTCTGGATGAAAAAAGAAGAGAAGCATTGAATAAGATACTAGACATTAAAGGTGATTTCTAGCTTGGATATTTACCTCATTTGAGATCTTATAAACATTTATGTATTGTGAATGAGACATTAATATTTCCAAATATAGGTTGCATTCGAGTGTTTTCCCGGGTTAGACCATTTTTACCAACAGATAAACGGAGAACTCATCAACCGATTTCAGTTGAATCAGAGAAGATCGTGGTAAGATCCGGTGGTAGCAGGAAAGAATTTGAGTTTGACAAGGTTTTCACTCAGGAAGCAATCCAAGGTTAGTAACAAATTTATGTGCTAAATATTGACTGTATCTTATTTCCAAAGAAATTTCAGTAAAGGCATTTGTTATGCTTGAACATTCTGTAGAAGATGTTTTTGCTGAGGTTGAGCCAATTCTCAGATCTGCAATCGATGGGCACAATGTATGTATATTAGCTTATGGACAAACTGGAACTGGCAAGACATATACTATGGTTAGTATTCTTATTGTATGATCACATTGTCGTGAAGAATGTTTATAGGTAATGAACTAGGTGTTTTTTCTTGTGTTCTTTAGGAGGGAACCACCGAGTCTCGAGGGATCATTCCTCGTGTTCTTCAGGAGCTTTTTCACCTTTCCTCTTTAGATAGCTCGACTTCATTTACTTTTTCGATTAGCATGCTCGAAGTCTATTTGGGCAGCCTAAGGGATTTGCTTGCTCCAAGACCTTCCAGTCGGACATACACTGCGCCAAGATGGTAATTCCCGATATCTTGTCCTCGCTTCTATGTTAAAAGGAGGATGTAATTTGATGACCCGCTAAGAATTGCCTTGTATAGCTTGGCTAACTCTACTACAGCAATCTAAACATTCAAACAGATTCAAAAGGATCAGTCGAAATCGATGGTCTAACTGAGGTGGAAATCTCTAATTTTACTAAAGCAACTTGGTGGTATAACAAGGGGAGGCGAGTTAGATCCACATCTTGGACAAATGTAAATGAAACATCCAGCAGATCACATTGGTAGGTTTTTAAAAGCCTTTCCCTTCGTCATTTGGATTACTTTGGTTTTGGCAATTCAGTAACCTGTTTAGTTATTTGTATTTAGTTTGACGAGGATCAGTATATATCGCTACGGGGATGCTTTGGGAGGTAAAGCAGAAGTAAGCAAACTGTGGATGGTTGACCTTGGAGGAAGTGAGCGCCTACTTAAAACGGGAGCCATTGGACAAACCCTTGACGAGGGGAGGGCAATAAATCTCTCTCTTTCTGCACTAGGTGATGTTATCGCAGCTCTTAGAAGAAAGAGAGGCCATGTTCCTTATAGGTTGGTGAATATTTACGAGCTTCTGACTTAAAAAAGAATTCTTGTTTTCGTTTCTGCATTAGAATAATAGTTTCTCAATGTTCTTCTTGCTTGAGTTAGACTGTATTCTACTATTACGTACAGCCCAAAGCTTGAGGAGGTTTGAGTTGAAATATTTGGTAGTGTGATTTAACTAATGAAGTTACCAATTTTGGTTGCAGAAATAGCAAATTGACACAAGTTCTCAAGGATTCTCTTGGTAAATTCTCTGATTTCCTGAAGCAACAATTTACACAGACATGCATGTCAGAACTTTTACATTTTTCACATTTTGAAAAAATGATAACTTAGTCCCGTTAAGAATGTTGAAATTTGACTTCGTAGCAGTTGATGTTAAAATCTCTCTTGTTCGTCTTTGTTCTTAGACGTCTAAACGTGGAATGTTCATGTCTTATTTCTTTGAACCTACTGCTTTAGGTGATAGATCAAAAGTTTTGATGCTAATCCATGTTAGCCCATATGAAGAGGATGTTGGAGAGACAACATGTTCCTTTACCTTTGCGAAGAGAGCAAGAGCAGCAGAATGCAACAGAGAACTCTCACAAGTAATCATCTCTGGTTTTCTTTAATAGTTTCTATTTTCTCTGATGACCTTGATGCTTATCCTTATTTATTGTTTGCATCCATTCAGGAATCAAAGAAGCTAAGAGAAAAGAGAATTTCTGAGCTTGAGGGGCAAATGAAGGAAGCCGAAGAAGGATGTACAGAACTCAGGACTCAAATACAGAAGGCTGAATTTTTGTTGAGCGAGAACAAAAGGCTTTTCGTGAAGAAATATGAGCCACTTGAAGATGAAGAAACCTTTCCTATAACCCCAAAGGAAAACATTGCTGAAATCACAGTAACTCCAAGAAATTCTGAGAAAGGGCTAAAAACAAAGGTCACTAGCTCAGTGCCTCGATTCATGAGTGCCACAGTTGCCAGTCGACAAAGGGAGAGTACGGCAGAGAGGGAAATTCATAGCAGACCAAAAAGTTTGAGATCATGGGCTAGGAGCTCTACCCAATTGTCTGGTTCACAATCAAACAGCTTTTCAGACCGTCGTTTCAAAGCACAGCTACGAACTTCAAATAAAAGATCACGATATAGTGAGACTAATACCATTGCAGGAGATATTAAGTGTGATGATTCAGATATTAAGCCATCGATCTTGCCACAACCACAAAGCAAGACTATCGCTTCCTCGGATCCAAAGCCTAGAGTAACACTACCTCACCACAGAAGAAGGATGTCTGATCTGCTTTAACTATTACAAGAGCTGATCTTCTAATCCTTAGCAGGTGCTTTAACTTTTTTCGCTTTTTAGTGTTTCGGCTTTTGTTTGTTGTTGCTGCTACTGCTATTGTTTTCTCTTTTCTTTTTGGTCCGGAAGTGCTTCAAGATTACGAAAGAAATTCATTGAGGTTTTTTGTGTTATAGATGTGATTTTTCTTGGGGTTGGAATAATTTTATAATTTGTTAGCACTGTATAGTATATACTCTGCAAAAAAAGAGTGGTTTCCTTAGGAATGTGTGTTTACTGCAAATGTCATCTTGTCGAGACATTGTGAAGAAAGTGCATGAGAAAAGATTTTTCAGTTAATATTGTACAATTGTTACTGCAGTTCAGAATGTATTACCATATGTGTTGAATTTCAGAAATGAATCATTGAAATTTGAAGGCATTATACGTCAATTATAAGTCGACTTGAAACTTGAACTATCATGTTCACAAGTTCGAGTCGCGGAATCAACCACTGATACTTGCATCAGGGTAGGCTATGTGAATGCAAGATGCTTTATGCATTGGACTGCCCTTTTATATTTCTCCCAAGTCTCCTTAAATGCTTAGTTGAGTTTGTCTTAGAGTTTGGCAGAACTCAGTATTTTAGTTCCTAAATAGCATTTGTTTGAGCTAGTGAACCTATTTCCTTTCACTGTTTACCTATAATGTCACGACCCAAAACTCACTATAGGTCGTGATGGCGCCCAACGTCGTTGTTAGGCAAGCCAACGGTGAACTATCAGCTTAGTTATTCATTTTACTATTTTTAAAATCATAAGCCTTATTAAGTAAAGGATTCAATGCGTTTAAAAATCATGAATACTTAAAATATTTGTAAGATATAAAATAAAAGATGACAATATTAAGCCGAACCATATCAATCACCAGAGTATTCCCAAAACCCGGTGTCACAAGTGCATAAACATTTACTAAGGAGTACAATAATAATACAACATTTGCCCGAAATGTAAATAAGACATGATAGAGTAAATGGTACGATGAAAACTCTGTGGGCTGCGATACGTAGCCTAGAATGCAGCTCACCAAAAGTCTCCTCAGCAATTGCGCCTACGCGCCAAGATGACCACCAAATGAACCTGTCAGATCCTTCACATTTAGTGCAGAAGTGTAGCATGAGTACGTAAATCAACGCGTACCCAGTAAGTATCTAGCCTAACCCTGGAGAAGTAGTGACGAGGGGTCGACATCGACACTTACTAGAGGTCCAATGAAGTAGTATGATAAATCATAAACGGATATGAAGCGCAACAGTAATAATGGGGTAAGACTGTAATTCACATAATCTTCCAAAATTTCTTTTAAAGATATAAATTTCTAATCTCGTATTCTATCTCAGCAGCTCAGATATATCAGGTGCTAGTATCAAACGGATAAGGTATACCATATAAAATGCAGGCATCAGTAGAAGGAAAAATCTCGAGAATATTCGGACTGCTAGCGATATAACGCACGATTATGCCGAGGTCGTACGACCCGATTCAGAGTGGTGTGTACACTGCCGAGGGTCGACCGGCACGAACCAGAGATGCATTTCAATATACTGCCTAGGCGTTCGGCCCGCTCCACAAAGGAAGGAACTTATCGAATTACGAGTCACGTGCTTACAATACAAGTACATGAGCATAAAGTGGATATACCATTTACCGTTTATCAAATATTTGCCAACAACTAATATATATTCCTAAATCAAATATTACATGATAAAGTCCTAAGTCTATCCGGACATAAATATGCTTTAGTTACTAATGATAGACTATAATTGCGTATTTTAGTCACTTATTACACTCAAATTTACTGCACGTTAATTGAGTTTAGCTTTAATCGCTAGTGTTTTGCACTAACTGTGTGTTTTATGCCTTGTAGGAGTGATTCCGAGCTATATAGATGCTATGAAATGAATTCAAGTGATTTGGATCTTTGAAGTCTAAGTAAAAGTCCAAGGAATTAAGCCGGGATCGTGTCAGGGGTCAACTTTGATAGTTAAGAACAAACGAAGACTCGAGTAGGCATATTGCGCACTGTCTAGTAAACAGACATAACTCTTTGCTCAGAACTCCGTTTGGACTATATAATATATGGTTGGAAAGCTAACTCAAAGGGATACAACTTTCATGTTTTACGTTTTTCCAAATTCCAAACGTAACAGGGTGAAAAATGAGGTCGAAACTGCAATCGCGGACCTGGTCGCGGACTGAGGCAGTGCACTTGTTAATATGCGCGGCCACTAGCGCGGTCACTAGCGCGCCCGCGCTAGTCCAGGCCTGGAAACTTGTCCTTTTTCACATTGGAGAAGGTATAATTGTTTGGGCCCAACCCTACTTGGTATATATACATGGAAAAACAATATTTTGAGGGGGTGGGACATATTTTTGACACAGATTCGACCTAAGGAGGCAGAGACACAATAGGAGCAAGGCGGGGAATTCTTTCACGAGTTTTTCCTTCCTCTTCCTATTTTTCATTGTTGGTTATAACTTTTAGTATTGTAGTTTTACATACTATTATGAATAGCTAATTTGTCTTCTAGGATTTTGATGGAACCTTTTGTAGGATAAATTCTTGTTATGTTTTTATATAATTGAGCCGTAGTATTTTCTCTATTTGTTCAACTATATATTCTTGTGGTTGATTGAAGGGCCCTCAATTAGCTGTGCCTATTTAGTATGTATTACCCAGGAGAGAGTACATATTTAGGTAGTTGTTGAACAACATCACTCCCGACGTATGTGAGGAATCAATAACCAAGGGTTTCAAGTTTGGATTAGGGATAACGAAACCTTGGGTGCGATCTAAGTGAGCTGTAATTAAAGTCAGCTAGCATAACTCGGGAGAGTATGTCTAGTAAATTGTCGTAATAACTCGGGAGAGAATTGCAACACGCAGAGCGCTCATGATCGGTAGAGAATACTTAGGCGAAATTATAGAAGACATAGCGGGAAGGATTCCGACAATTGGGGAAATCATAACTCTAGACCTCCTTAATCTTTTCTCCAACCTGTAGTATCTTTAGTGTTAATTTATTATTTTAATTAGTTAGTTAGTTAGTTAGTTAAACACAAGAGTCTTAATATTTATAAGTTATGAATTGTTCAAGCTTGTATTCTTGGTGATAGTGAACAACTGTAGCTAAGCCTTAGTTCTCTATGAGATTCGACTCCGGACTTGTAACCCAGATTATATTTGCAGCGATCACTTATCCTTTTTAGGACTAGAGTTAGGCGTGCTCAAATTTTGGCGTCGTTGCCGGGGAACTAACGGTGTAGCTGTAGGTGTACATATTTCTAGGTTGCAAGTTTGAACTGTTATTTTTGTTTTCGTGTATTTGATTATTTATTTATTTTTAATTTTTATTTATTTTTTATCTGAGAGACATGGCATCATGGAATTATGAGAATTTTGATGTTGGTAATTCTGCTTTTAATCCTCCTTATGCATATTGTGAAGGAAACCACCCAAGGCAAAATTATCAAAATATTCCCGAGAGCGAGTTTTTAAATTTTTTTAATTGTATTATTTTTGTAGTGTCAGTTTTTTATTTTCTAGGTGCATGAAAAACAAAGCTATTGGAAGGATGCAACAGCAAACCAAATGGTTGGAACAAAGTGTGAGGTACTCGCACGAAGGACCAGGCTTGGGAGAAGTCTGAGTACCCCATGAGATGTTAGTGCTTCGGCCTTTGGGTTACCAGGGAGTTTCTTTTACCCTCTTGTATGTATGAGTGTGCATTTGGGACAATGCATAATTTTAAGTGCGGGGTGAGGAGATTGTCTGGGTGACTTTCTATGCTATTTTAGTTATGTTAGTTTAATTGAATATTTTTTTTTTAAATAGAAAAGATTGGACTTTTGACGATGGATCTATTAGACATTCTTGAGGGATTTAAGTCTAAAGAAGACAAAAGATTTTTTTTTGTTAGGTAGTGCAGCAATACCCCTTTGGTTTTTCTTTGTGCCGCGATTCTTTTCCAAGGGTTTTATTTGAACCGGGTGTAGATAGTTTTTTTTGGGAAGTAGGAGCCATTGTGTTGTGTTTTGAATTGAAGAAATATCTCTTAACTTTGTTATGCCTTGAGAATAGTAAGTACTCTGGCTGTGACGCTTATGCTCAGTTTTGACTTTTGTATAAGTACCTTAAATTTTATGATTTTAAATTTGCTTAACTGCTTTGACTAGAGTGTCTTGATGAATCCAATCCTGAATGAGTTATGTGCCATATGTGTGTGTAAGGTTTTGTGTTATTCTGTGTGTGCATTTGATGACTAGAACTTGCCCCGTATGTTTGCAAAGCGAAATAGTAGTTTTGTTCAGTCTTGGAAGTGATATAGGCATTTCTTTGTTGAGCCAGATATGTATATTTTACCCGCCTAAATGTTATGTATCGTAATTAACCCCTTTGAGCCTGTAATCCTGTTTCTTTGGAAATCACATTACAAGCCTTACCCATTTGTTTGAATTAACCATCTATTTGAACCATTGTAACCTCTCATGAGCACTTGAATTGTTTATGAACTTTGTAAAAGTTAAAGTGTGGGGTGGCTGGTTTGACTTTTAAGTGGAACTAATGAAATAAGGAGAAAGGTGCACTGTTATGAACAAGTAAGAGCCACTTGAATTGAAAAAAAATATATAGTTGTATTGCTGTGAAAAAAAAAATTCCTTGATAAGTGGTGACTCTTGATGTAATTGTGCTTGTGCTTAAAGAAGTACGGGGTAAAATACATTAATGTGAAGGCGGTGTTTGGTTTAACATAAGTATGAGATTTGAATGTTCAAGTATATGTATTAAAGTGCTTAGGGAGGTGTAGTCACTCTTATATCTAAATGTATCATACCCGTCCCGCAGCCTACATTGCAACCAAATAAAGTCCTACTTGATCCTAGACTGAATGAGCTCAATTAGTAGAGTAATACACTACGAGCAAGCCTATGGTGCATCTTTTGTGGCATATGAATGTTATTTCTGAGAGTGAGTGAATTCTTTCTATCTTGAGTTCCTAAGTGCTCTTAAATTTTATAGTGTGGAACTACTCTCTTTTGTTGTGTGAGGGCACTTGATTCATGAAGGAAAGGTAATGTCAGTGATCTCTATGTTAGAGTAAGTGGGTGAGTTGTTAATAATGCGTGGTACTTGTGAGTCAAATCTTGAGGTGAAGATGTTACGCTTTTGTGCTTAGTCTATTTTAAATATTCTTGGTGTGATGAGTTAGGAGAATTGTTTAAAAAAAAGAGGTCGGGTCTATATAAAGTGTGTCGATGCCCCCTTTTAAAATCGGATTTACGACATTTGGGTGGACAACTCTATTCCTTTTGGGAGTTTGGGTTTGAGATTTA